CCTGGTATGGTGCTGTAGGATAAACACTGGTGGACAACAAGGTTGCTTTGAAGCGCAAGGTGGAGGTTTAAATGCACCAGCTTCTCCTTGGAAACTCCATACAGGGTCACTATGAGTCAGAACCAACAACAATGGATTGGAAGACTCAGTATTGTTAAAGATGTCAGTTTTCTTCAGTACTTCCCAAATAGTTTCAACATGATGTCAATCAACGACCCAGTAAATTTTTTATAGAAATTGGCAAACTGATATAATTTTTTCTTAACAAACAAAAAAAGTTTCTAGAATAACTACTTTGTCAAAAGAACAAATTTGAAGGCTCTACACTACCTAATTTCAAGACTTATTATAAAGCCATAGTAATTAAGATAGTGTGGTATTTGTGAAAAGACAGACAAATATATCAGTGTAATAGAAGTAAGTCCAGAAATCATACCTACATTTGTTGTAGTTAAGTGCTGTCACTATCAATTGATTTTTAACAAAGGTGTTAAGATTTCACTGGGGAAAAGTAAAGTCTTTTCAACCAGTGGTGCTGGACAGCAGCCTTATGGAGGAAAATGAACCTTGATAAACAGACAGAGAAAGAAAAAGGAAGAAAATAAATTGCAATAATAGTGTTCAGAATACGAGGGAACTTCAGAAAGTTCATGAGAAATCCATTCAGTCCTCTCAGATACTCTAAAAAAAATTTTAAAAAATCCTATAAATAGAAACTGTATTTTTTAAAAATGGGCAGAGATGTGAATAAACATTTCACAAAAGAAAATATACTGATAGCAAATAAGCACATGAAAAGATACTCAACAGCATTAGTCACTGGGGAAATGCCAATTAAAACTAAATGAGGTAACCACTTTGGGATAGTACTGGTCATTTCTTATCAATTTAAACTTTAAGACTTAACAGTTGTCATTTTTAGGTATGAGGGGGCTTTAAACAATTCATGGAAAAATTGAATTAAAAGATAATTGGAAGTTTTCCCATTAACTTTTTTAAGCGCCCAAAAGAAATGAGAGCATTTGGTCACACAAAGACTTACCCATTAATGTTTGCAACAAATTTAATTATAAAAACCAAAAATTGGAAGTAGCCTAAATCAACAAATAAATGGGTAAAAAAGTTGTGTATTCATATACTGGACTACTACTTAGCCACATGAAAGAACAAACTACTGTTAAATGCAACACCATGGATGAATCTCAAAAACAGGCGTAGTGGGGGAAACAGAAAAGTGTGTGCACTCATGCATACATGTGCATGGTGTGAGTGGCAGTGTAAGTGCTGTCAAGCCAGTTCTGACTCAGAACTGTGTTAGTGACTTAGTATATAGCATTTCCAAGGAGTGGGTGGTGAGTTTGAATCACCAACCATATGGTTACCAGTCCAGTACTTATCCTACACCACCACTTGTACACAGATACATATACTAAGTCCAAAAGTATTGCTACAAAATCGAAGCCATTTTTATTAAAAACACCAGAATGTAAAGTTTTGGTTTCTTGATAAATCCTTTTAGGTCTTACACACTTCTGGAGGCAGTCTTTCCATCTCTCTAACCTTTCCCCCAAAGGATTCTGTGCTCTTTGATTTATGTCACATCAAAATGGCAGTTTGACCATCCTTGAAGAACTCAAATCATAGTCCTTTGAAATGTTCTAAGTTGTAAGATGAAGGGGCAAGATCAGGGCTCGTTGGATTTCTCAAGGAAATTCTCATAGGACAACCTTTGCCACCCTTGAAGACTAAGCAGCTGTATTGTTATGATTAGAAAAAACAATTATTCAATGCAACTTTCCTGCTCTGTTCTCAATGATGTGGGTTTTGGGGTTTTTTTTCCATTTTCTTAAAACTCGTGTGTCTTTCAAGAAGATTTATCAAGATAATCTATCAAGATTACTTCCTTTGTATTTCCAGAAAACAGTTGCCAGAACATTCTGAGCTGACCACTCTACTTTAAAGTTAACTGGCCTAGCAAATCCCCTTTAAAGCCATTGTTTGGATTCACCTCTCTTTAACGGCACCCTAACAGTACTAAGACAAGTGTATCAATGAAAGATCTTGTCTGCAACCATTCACAGATCATAGAGCTGTGTTTATATTTTATTAAGAATAAACTCTTGCCTGTGTGAGCTAGGTCCTAGTAGCAATACTTTTTGACTTATACATGTAGGTGTATGTGTGTGTCCATATACATGGCATTCTCAAGAAGAAAAATTTAACAGTGAAAGTAAGTAAATTGTATCTGTATCGTGGATGGAATGCTGGTGACATGTATATACATCTGTCCAAACTCATTTAACTATACAAGGGGGCTTTAAAAAGTGTCTTATTTCTCTCTCTCTCTCTTTTTTTTTTTTTTGTCTATGACCCAGTACTTTTAAGCAGGGTGTTGTTAAACTTTCATGTGTTTGATTTTTTTTCCTTAATCTTCCTGTTGTCAATTTCTAATTTATAGCATTGTGATCTTAAAAGATACTTTTTTAGTATTTTGGTGTTTTTCATTTACTGGGGTTTGCTATACGGTCTTAACACATGTCTATTCTGGAGAATGTTGAGTAC